AATTGACTTTTTTGGGTGATAAAAATCGAATTCTTTTAATATCTCGGTTTTAAGTATTAATTGCGTGAAGTTTTTTATTGGAAAAGTTTGAATTTAATACTAGAAATAAAAGACCTTATAACACCAAAATGTTGTTTTTATTTAAATAGACACTCAACATTTCACTTTACAGGTTCTTCAGGAGCATTCACTAAAACACAAACCAAAACTGACAGAACAGAGCTTTTTTCTTTTTTTGAAGATTTGTTGTGTCAGTTTTGGTTTGTGTTTTAGTGCATGCTCCTGAAAAACCTGTAAAGTGAAATGTTGAGTGTTTAATTAAATAAAAACATTTTGGTGTTATAATTAATATGTTTTCTATACACTAATATGCACTACAGAAATTGAATAATGAAAATTTGAATTTAGTTGGACCCTACTGATTGGAATTTAAACTAGGATTTAGTAGATTCCTGGTGAAAAGTAAACATAAGATAATAGTAAAATCTATGCCTAGTATAATAGATTTATTATTTATAGATGAATTTAATATTGATTATTCTCTTTGTCTGAATAGCTGTGCCATGCTATCATTAACATGGCAGTTGTATTAAACTTGATATAAACTCGTACCTAAACTTTTGTTAGCATTGAAAGTGGAAGATTATTGTCATTATCTGTAAAGGGTGGCACTTGTAAGTCAATCTGACACAACAGTTATACAGAGAGTACTTTAAAATAATTTGTTATAGGCATAGTAAAAAGGTAAATGTTATAGTTGTTTTCTCAGAAATATATCCAATACTTTTATAGCTATTCAAGAAATAAAAAAAAAATATTTTGCTAAAGTTTATTGAGTCAAGAACGGATTTTCTAAACCACATGAATTACCATTAATCTTTTGGCAAATTGTCTAAAAAGGTTTAATTATTATGAACGTATTTGGTATTGTTTTTATTTATAAGACTGATTACAAAAAAATCAGCAGTTGAAAATGAAAAATTTCCAGGATAAGCGAGCAGTGACAGAACTGTCTTAAAGTTGTTCCAACTGCTTGTCAGAATTCAACTTGTTTGAAAGTCCGCTGTGTAAAACTGATGAAGTAGTCAGAAAAGAATCAAAATATCTTTAGTTTTTGAAAAGAAAAATGAAGTAAATAAAGATTGCAATTAAAATTGATTTGATTTATCTCTTTCTTAAAAGATGTAAGCAGATAATTATTGTGCATAAGAAATAGCAAAAATGAATTTGTAAGTTACATGTTTGTAATTCCTAATCATTACTTGGATTGGTTAAAAGTTTTTATACAGCTTCATTAGAACTTGTGTTTTATTGTGAGATGTTTTGGTCAACTTTTGAATTTTGCAATTTGTTTATGAAAATTGGAAATTAGTATGTCATTTGCACAACAGTTTAATACAAGTATGTTTCAGCTATTACATAATAGCTTTTGAAAAATATTATTAACGTTTTTCCCCTCTTTTATTAGATTAGCTGTTATCATTAATATAGTCTATGTTGTCAAAAATTATGTAGATGAATGTCATATTTTGTTTTTCAGATTTTGTGCTGCATACTGGAGGGGTTTAAACACCTTGACAATAAAGTTAGGAAAAAAACGACCTTTATTCTCCAGATAATAATACTAATAATAAAACTTTTTATTTATCTAGCATTTCTCCATCAGTACTAGTAGTACAAAAATTGTTCTTGTACTACTATTACTAGCCATGATGGAAAAATGCTGGTTGAAATTAAATTTTTTTATCATTATCTGGGGAATAAAGGTAATTTTTCTAACTTTGTAGAGTGCATGATGTGGGAATTTTTGCTCTACATCCAGTAATATTGTGGTCTAAATGTGACACCGCTTAGTGTTATGGTAGTTATCTAAAGCTGCCCTAAAACTATTTCTCCAAACATTGAAATCCATTCTCTCTTAACATCTCAGAATTCTTACAATAGTTTCTATTCATGTTATTGAGCTTAAATGTACCTTACCTAAAAGAGGGGGGGAGCTTATATTTTGTTTAGTGAAAACTGATTTCAGTTTGATGGTCAGACTTTTGTTGTGGTGGTGCCATCTATAAGTTAATTGAGCTACAAAAGAGTGATATGTCATTCTCAATGATAAATGGGTATGTGGCTATTTGAGTTGGCTTTGTCATTTATGAATCAAAGCATTTGTAATATTATGTTGTCACATAAATTAATTGTAACCTTGTATAGAGTTCTTCTGTGTGTTAAGTTCCGAGATTCTCTTCAGCTTCTTCTTTATACATAGTTTAATATATATATGATATAAAAATGCTAAAAATTTTAGTGGCACGAAAAATAGACTTCATGATTCTTGATGGCACTTATTGTTTAATTTTTCAGTTTAGCGAATGTAATTTAAATATGAACTAACCCTAAGTTCCATAACTATTCTAACTGTAAGTATTGTTCAGAGCTTACTGTAAAGGTTAACAGTTTGATACCACTATAATTCTTTCTTGTTTCTCTGTGCATGTACCTGACTGCTTAGTGTTTTACAGGAAGGATTCTGTTGCCTTGTTAAGTGCTGATAACGATTATAAAATATTAGTTTCATACTCTTAATCTTACTCCCAAATTCTCAAGAGAAGTACTATAAACAAAATTCCATCCCTTGTATGAAGGGCCTTATAAATACGTGGAGTCGTACTCTACTGGCATCGGAAAATTCATATTTTTATATACATATAATTAAATGTATATAAAATTTCATGTAACTCTTGAAATAGAGGGCTGATTGTGCTGATAGAATAGCTCATTCAGTCTTAAAGCTATGGATTGTTATTTTGATATTTTTTGTCAGAGAACGAAGCCCGGTCTTGCTATGTACAGGCAAAAACCGAAAACTTACTTTTGCAGACTACTGAAGATAGTAGCAGTGCCGATTTATAGGGATCATTGTTGCTGTTAATCATTAAGAATTGTTTATTTGAAATGATTTCCATATTGTTATTGTAAATTTTGACAAGGCTACACCATACATTGTATCAACGCCAGTTGTTGAGAAAAAAAATTGTATACTGAAGGAATGATACAGGTAACTGAAAGAGGGTTGTGTTTCTTGTAATACGTAACTTGATTTAGTAACGAGTTCCTTGTTGTGTTAATTTCTAATGTATACATCTTACAGTTTTCTTCTCTGAATAAAATATTGAGTTGTAAACTGTTTTTATTATTCTGTGAAGTTAAATTGTTCTTAATGTTGCATCTTTCATTTTATGATGTACTTCAAAATATCTTCAACTATTAGCGCCTTCACATGGTTTATGGTTTAGTGTTGGGCTGAAAGGAAGTCGTCACACACACAATATCTGAGATACACCAGCAAATTTCTTTCACTAAAAATTGTAATTTAATAAATATGGTCTTTTAAGACATCTACTTCAACTATTCTGGACTAAATCCAGTAAAGATGACCATTTAGGACAGCCACCTCAACTATTCTGGACTAAATCAAATAAATGTTATACTTTGTGTTGCTACTTTAACTGTTCTGAACTTAATCCAGTAAATGTGATCCATTAGGACGACTGTTTCAACTATTCTGAACTAAATGCAGTAAATGTGACTATTCAGGACAGCTATTTCAAACATTTATTATATTTGTCATAAGACATTATGTTAGGCTTATTATATTCTTAATAATACATTCCTAATATAGTCCCTTATGGAATTTAAAAAAAAAATAGAATGGTGTATTATTATACACTCATCTAATTTTAAAAACTGTAAGGGAATAAATTACGAATGTAGTGTTAAAGATTATAATAGGCCTAACATAATGTCTTATGACAAATATATTTGATTACATCATGCTTTGCCTGCTTCTAAAACGTGTTCACACCATAACAATTATTCTTATTTCAACTTTTCTGTGCTAAATCCAGCAGGTGTGATCCTATAGGGCAGCTACTTTAAGTATTCTAAAGTAAGTCCAGTAAATGTTATGCTTTAGGAAACTACTTCCATTATTATGGACTAAATCTACTAAATGTTAAGCTCTAGGATGCTACTTCAACTAACATGGACTAAGTACAGTAAATGTGAATATTTAGGAATCTACTTCAACTATTCAGGACTATATTAAGTAAATGTGATGATTTAGAACTGGTACTTTAACTATTGTCTCCTGGGGGTAAGTCTTCAGATTTACAACGCTAAAATCAGGGGTTCGGTGTCCCTCGGTAGACATAGCAGATATCCTGTTGTGGCTTTGCTATAAGTAAACACACACACACACAATAATTATTCAGGACTAAATTTAGTAAGTGTGATCCTTTAGAACAGCTACTTCAACTATATTGTACTAATAAATTAAGTAAATGCTATCCTTCAGGACTGTTATTTCAACCATTCTTGGCTGGATGCAGTAAATGTGATCCTTTAGGACAGCTGCTTCAATTATTATAGACAAATTACAGTACTTGTCGAAAACTTAGCACCACTGTTCAGTTTATTATTGATTAAGAGCAAGACTGGTATTGACCACTGCTGTAATTATATGACGTTCCTTATCTTCGTTAAATATAGTTGTATCTCCACTTCCTATTTTTAGTTTGTAAATACAAGAGTTCGCCAGTATTTGGTTGTTAATACAGAAATGACAGTCAATATCTTGATTTACTACAGCTTGGTGTTCAGTATATTTTACTTCTGCTTCACTAAAAAGCACGTTTTCTGAACTTTGCTATTGTTATTACATCCGTCACTCTGTTGCATTAACTTTATAGACAACTAATGTAAATAAACCAATAG